GAAAGCTTTAGGACAGGGGTATTGCTGCTCTTCTGTTTCCTTCTCATATTCATCCTCTGTTGGAGGGGATGCTCCCAGCATGGCAGTTGACACACAGAGGGGAATCCACAGCTGGATTGCTGGGATTCAGGCTCTGGCTCTATAGACCATTTGACTTTGAACCAGTATTTAAGCTTTCTGGGCCTCAGTTTCCTTATCTGTGTAAGGGRCATGGTAGTGTCTCCTACCTCATAGGGTTGTTGTGGAGAGGCTTAAGGAGAGTGCCTAGCCCATTGCAAGCCCCCRGTAATGTCAGCTTTTGTCAATTCAGCAATTGAATCACCTCTATGTAGAAGACGACAAGAATTTTATACAAAACAACCAAGAAACTTTTCTGTGTTTGCACAGCAAGGAAGGCAGACCCAGAGTGCAGCCACAGGTATGTCTGACCCTCAGCCTTGYCTCCTCCCCATTTCTGAGGCCAGCACCTCAGGGCTCCCTCTGCCTGTGGTTGCCACTGTCATACAGCCMGGAGGGTGTATGCAGGGAGTGGCATTGGGTCCCAGGACTGGCCAGAGGAAACATTTAAGTATATGTACATATCAGGTTTTTTTAATAGACAGAAGTGGGGGCAAATTGCAGAAGACTGTTGACAACCAGATACTGACTGATCCAGGAGAGGTGACATTCTCACCCAGGCCAGCACCTCCTCACTCCCTCCTGCTGTTTTATTTTCTCACACTGCAGGTCTGGAGTTTTCCAGAGCGCCACTGCATTTACATCTATATTCTATTTTCTCTCCTAGAAAATAGGTCAGACTCGAGGCAGAGTTCACCAGGTGGGGTCCCTGAAGGTTTGGCTGGGACTTTCCTCTAGGAGGCTGTCTGTGCAGCTTTCCCCACACTCCCCAAAGCGCCAGGGATGTAGGTGTTAAAGTAGAAAGCAGCAGGGGTGGGTGTGGGGTGGGGTGGGTGGGGGTGGGGGCTCTTGAACTCTTGCCTCTTGAGAAGATCCTGTCCCAGTGAAGAGTCAGGTTCCCTGGCTGAGCTAGCATCTGCAAGGGCAGCAGTAGTGGGTGGAGGGTCCTTTCTTTCTCCTGGTTATTAGAAGAAACAGGACCCTTAAACTGCAGGAAATTGCTTTCAACATGAAAACAAACATAGGGTACTTGTGGCTGAAGTTAGTGTTGAATATGCAATAAGTGCTTGTGGGGACTGAATGGAGGTGGAAGTGCCCGGATTTACTTCTTCCCTGGTTGTGATGCTGAGGAGAGGGGGTGATGCTGGTGATTTCAAATCCTTCCTTTCCTGGTTTTTCTTCCCTGGTTGGAGGGCAGCAGTCCTGAGGGAGGAAGTGCAGACTGGACCAGGAGGTATATTCATCATGRTTTGTTTTCCCCTGAATATTACTTGAGCACTTGTGACTTTCCAAGACTGTGTGTGAGTGACACATCTAGGAGGATGGGACAGGGAATGTGACAAGTTATGGGAGCCAGTCCTTGCCCTCCATCCTAATGGTGGAGATAACTAAGAAGATCCTGCTTATAGCCTTTGCATTTGATAGTCTCCTCCCTGAACAGTCTTCTCTAGATATATGTAGTACTCATCTTCCTCAGGTATCAGTTCTAATATTACTTCCTGAAAAAATATTCCTTCCTTCCTTCCTTCACTATCTTCTCTAACATGGGGACCCTCTGCTGTCACTTATGCTGCTTCTCCTTTCTTCATGACACTACTTGACGTTATGTATCTATGATTTTAAAATTGTTATCTCCCATTAAAACCCAAGAGTCTCTTCTATGTCATTTGTTGCTTGTATCCTCAATGTTTAAAGCAGGGTCTGGCCTGTAGTTGGCATTCTGTCAATAAGTATTGAATGGTGAATCGATTATCTCCATTGATACTGTTCACTGAGACAGATGGGTATTAAGATCTGCATTCACACATGAGAAGACTGAAGCTCCAAGAAGCTGAGGCATTTGCTTCTGGATGGAGGGCAGAGCTGGGATTTGGCTCTTCATCTGTTGTCATCCTCTTATACTAAATATCCTTATTTGCTTCTATTTTGCACTCATTCTCAGGAGGACTGTCCCTTATGATCACAGAGATGGAATGTGGCAGCTTCAGAGGAAAAAGAGAGAACCCTATTTCCTGATAATTCTAGTAAAATTCCCAGGCAAGACTCTTATTGGTTGGGCTTGGGTCACATGTCTGTTCCTGGTCCAATTATTGAATCCAGGAGATAGAATATTCCCATGCTCTGGCCTGAGTTTTGTRATTACTCTTGGAGACAAGGTGGGATCAGGGATTACCTCTGTGAACCCTATGGATTAAAGGCAGGGAAGGGAGTTCCCTGGRAGGCAGCTGGAGGTTGCTATAAGAAGAGAAGGCTATGGCTGATGGATACAGTCAAGTTTCTCATCCACATCCTCTAACCATCCTCCTTCCCCTCTTCCTCCTGCCTTTGCCATTTTATTCTGTCAGTCAGAATTGAGTCAGAAATTCAGGTCACTCACTGCTTCTTGGGAGAGGAGCCAGGTGATGCTGCATCTCTGTCCTAAAGTTGGAACAGTGCTCAAAACCACCATTGACCGGAAAGGATCTTAGACCTTGATCTTTAAAAAAAGGGATTTTCTGTTTGTGACAAGAACAGTGTTGCACAGGACCAGAACTATGCCAAAGTCAGGCTTGATGCGGGAGGATAAAAGAAGTAAGTGTGGAGACATCTAAGTCCCCAGTTTTGCTCACCCCAGACGTCTTTACTTCCCCTTTGCCAGCTTCATACTGAGGTTTGTGGAGACCAGAGCTGGAACACTGGTCCTTGTTCCTAAGTAGAAGAGCTCAACCCAAATCACTTAACTCCTGTGCTCTCTGATGTTTGCAGTGAGTCATCTGGTCAACATTTTTTGGGTACTTCAGCCTGTGATAATTCAAAATGATAACCATCAGAGCAGCCAACATTTATGTAGCTTTTGCTTTGTACTAAGTGCCTTACAAGTAGTTAAGCTCATTTAATTTTCCTAACACTCCCGGGAGGGAGGCTCTGATATGATTCCCTTTTTATGGTTGAGGAAAATGACTTAGAAGTTCAGTGATGGACCCAAGGCTACAGAGTAAGCTGAGGTCTGAACTCAGAGCTGTCCGTCTCCAAGTTTAGATATGGGTAACTCAGTGGTTTCAAAACACCTTTGGAGTTCCAGGGGATCCTGTCTCCCTGGGCCTTGGTATCCTCCAAGAGTGTGTTTGTATGAACAATGGTGTTGACATTCCCACCACAGAACCCCACATGTAAACAGTTTGATATYCTGTTTAATTAAGGGGTATTTTAACAACCACTATTCTAGGCAATCCATCAGTCACAGTTAATGGGCCTGCTTAGTTATTTATGCAGCATGTTTTCCTTCCCACCTCTTCTATTTCACCTCTTTTCTTTCTTCCTCCTGCCACTCCACCCCTAAATCTAACTCACCAGAAAACCGGAAAGGGGGTGTGGTTGAGGAGTGATTCAGAGCTCTCTAGAAGTCTCTTGGAGCAGATAAATCTTCTAGGGAATACAGGGTGTGGTCTGGATAAAAGCTTGGCTCTTGCTGTGAGTTAAGTCCCATCCCAAGAGCCGGGGCACAGCAAAATCTGGTCACAGTCTGTATTTTCCTGGGGTAAGAGCCCTCAGGACTCCCTGGAAATTTACAAATATGATTACAGATGTTTTTATTATTGGCAGGAAGAGTGTTACCTACCTTGTTCAGGCAGCACATCCAAGACACAGAAGATAGATCACAACCTGCCGGTGGGGTAGCTGGGAGACTCTCACCCAGCTTCCCCAGGGCTTCCCTATTTTAGTCTGCAAACTGAATTGGGTTCTATATGCCTTCAAGAAACCTAGGCTCCAGTTGAATCAATTTGCACTGAACGGGATTCTAGGCTCTGTCTCTGAACCACCTGTGGGAGCCGGGCGTGGGCAAATCTCCCAACCTCTTTCATCCTCTGTTTTAGTTCTCCATCTTAACAAAAAAAGAATGAACTAGATAATTAATGTCTATGACCATCCCGTGATTCCAAGTGGGTCAACCCAGGAATACCCCAATGGCCAGTGTTGGCTCTAGGGGTTTGAACAGTGTCCTAGGCTGCCCTGACTTAGACTCCCCCACGTGATTCTATTTCACATCTGAGGAGAGGATCCAGAGGAGGCGGTGTTGTTCAAGGAGATGATGGGAGTCCACCGTTCTTCATGCTTTGAAAGTTCCTTGGCTTCATTCAAATGCCAGCCTTCCCGGAATTGGATGTTTATTTGTAGTCAGAAGTGCTTTCCAATGCTGATTCTTGTCATTAGTGATGGGATGAAAAGCAAAGAGAAGAATAGCAGGGAGACTGTTGGTATGGTGGCTGCTCCACTCACACACCATGTCAGGCACACCCCGCTGTCTGTGATGAAGAATGGTCATGGGATCACGGGAAGGAGGGAATTGTAAATGTCTTGGTATCTTGTGACCTTCAGTTCTATGTGGTGAATGTGTTGCAACTTGTCCCTAACACTTATGCCTCTTTTCCTTATTTCCTTAAGGGAGTGGTTTATTCATTTTTCTCTCTGCTGGGAACCTTGCTTGACTTCGCATCCAGTGTGTGGTACCTGAAGAGGAAGAGAATTTGCTTGGGTTCCGTGTGCAGAAATCAACCAGAATATTTTAACCAATATTCTTGCAGGATTCCAGTCTGCTTGGCTCATTGGAGCCCTATCTGATTCCAGGATGATGTCTTTCCGGACAGATGGGAAGTTGACCTCTCTTGCTACATGCACAGTGAAAGGGGAGCTCAGCTCCTTGGCTTGCATGGGTGGTTTTGGGGTGAAGGTAGAACTAAGGGCTCAGAAGCTGAGCACTGTTGATGGCTTGCATGAACTTGATAGTCATGCAAGGGCACATTGCATTGTGTGTGTGTGTTCTGCTAACACTCTTCTTCCTTTCTCTCCCCTTCTTCCCCTTCTCTCTCCTCTCCCTTCCCCTTCCTTTGAAAATGCTGCCACAGATGTCAGTCAAGGTCCAGGTGAGTCTTTGTGTTTGCACTGCTGCCTTGGGAATCTCCCCTCTGCTAGATTGTGCATGGTTTGACTCTGACCCCTCTTTTCTAGGGATAAAAATCTGAGCATATTGTGTTTTCAATGATATAAGTTTAAAAGAAGAAATGCCTTCAATTGATGAACTTGTATTGGTTTAGAGGAACCATTTAAAACCAAAGGAATAAGGTTCCCTGACTTATATGATTACTTATGATTTCTGGGTGAATCAAAGAACTGGGAAATTAGCATTTAAAAAGTGTTTAGATATGTGTTCTTTGATTTAATGAACATTTTGCCTTATGTTCTATGAATCTGCTTCTATAGCTTCATGTGGTTGAAGGTTGAAGATTCAATACATTTAGCATGGAAAATATGATATGGGTAAATGAAGGTTTCTTCCTTTTATTCTAAGTAATGTCTTTTTCTCCTTACAATTAAGTTAGTAATATTTATTTTCCTGGCTATATAAGTAATACATGCTCACTGTAAAAAAATGATAAAATGTTTTTTAATCAATAGAAAAATGGAAGAATGACCTTTATGATAATTGTGTGCCTCTCTATTTAAAAAGCACAGTCATCCAGAGTCCCAATTTTAAGTACTGTGTGTGAGCGTACTTTTTAATATGTGTGTACACACTCGCATGCATAGAATCGTGAGATGATGCAAACGTTTATAGGTAATAGGTGTCTGTCAACTTGGAATACATTGAAGACTGTTCTAAACTGGCTAGAACTTTTAAGAATAGGAAGGGGGCATTATATGTTGTCACATTTTCTTATTCCATTTAACATTTAATCCTCATAGTATCAATTTAAGTTTGGTATCATTATATTTATTTTAATATGCAGAAAATTAAATTTAGGGCCCAACTGTTCAAGCAGTTTTGCCCAAGGTCATAGTTTATCTGAGGTATCGTTGACCTTGGAATTAGGGATTTTTTCCCTCTAGAACTCATGCATTGGATGGTACTTGCTGGCCTATCACTGAACATTAGCAATAATTGAAGGTCTTGTGGGTATTTCCTAATTGTACTGTTGTTTATTTATTTATTTTTGCATTGAGGTGATGTGACATTTTCTACATCCCTCTTTTAGTTATTAATTGTTACCCCTACCTTATAACAGAGGGGTTTTCATATCTCTTTTTCTGCTGCCCTCCATCTTTAAAAATAATTGAAGTTGAACATAGGCACAGAATACCATTTCCTAGGACATACCATCAAATTCATTCTTTCTACTTCATAATAATATTTTAGTTACTCAAAATAGCTGTGTACCAGGCATTGAGGACAGAGCAATGAACAAAAGACACTTCCTGCCTGCATGAACCTTGTATTCTAGACAGAGGCAGACAGTGAACACACATACATACACATATATACATACATGCATTTRTTCACATACTTATACACATTAGATGTAAAATTGTACATTGTACCAGGTRGTGAGTAATAAGGGCTACAGAGAAAACTGGAGCAGAGTAAAGGGGAAGTCCCTACTTTTTTTTAGAGGGACTTCTCTGATAAGAGAATATTTTCCTGGGGTACTTCAAGGAGATGTGGGAGTAAACCCAATCCTTCAAATTTTGTCTGTCAAAGTGCCTCTCACCTTACCCTCCCTTTTCCTGATTCATGACAGAGATGTCACCAGGGATGAGCACTTGGGCTGTGCATGTGGTACCTGCATAGGTTCTTCCTGCTGAGGAGTAGCARGGGCTAAAATCCAGCCTGCCTTCATTAGAGCCTCAATATAAGATAGGTATCATCTGCCTCTGGCCTGGCCTGTACCCCTGAAGGTTCCTTAGAATAGAGGGGGGAGATTTTTGCCATATTGGTCCTAGATGGAAGAGAATGGTGAGGAGGAACAGAGGCCTTATGGGTAGAAGGGGGTGACCCTTCCTGGGACAACAGCRACAGTGGTCCCCTCCTGCTAGTGACTACCCATCCCCCAGGTCATGGTACCATTCCTTTTTCTTGGCTCTTGTCTCATTTTATTGTCTTATAACACTCTGAGGTTTGTTGCCTGAACTCCACTGCTGAGGAAATKGAGGCCCAGTGAGGTCAAGCCATGTGCTACAGTCACCCAGCCCTTGAGCGGCAGGACTGAAAGGGGATTCTAGCTAAATCCCAGATCATGTGCCCTTCGTTCTGCCCTTGAAGTGCCTCGGGCTGATTGTCAAACCTGTCACTCCTCTATCCTCTTGATTTTTTATGATTTCTAAGCCTGGTGATTCACATCCTTTCCTTGTGGCTTGGGGCATGGCGGGAGGTGGCCTGCASGGGCCAGGCCCTGGCTGGGGTCGGTGGGCAGCCTCCAGTCTCTCTGAGCCCCTGGCCAGGCARTCCGGAGCCAGCTGGGCCGTGACTCTGACACAAGAGGCCTTTAGTGGTTCTTTGATTTTTTTCCCCCTTCCCCTCAGGAAGACAAATTGGGGATTTTATGAGCTAATGTAACTGTTTACCCAGGGGCTACTGGAAGACTATAAAGGGACAATTGATTAATTGATGAATTTGACATGCTGAGGAGATGGTTAGAAGTAACCCACTGGAAGATGCAGGCTGAGACGGGCCAGCCTGGCGGGAGCACCTTCCCAAACTCCAAATGGCAGCSTGGGAGCTCCGAGAGTGAGTCCTGGACATCCAAGGGAATGGGGAAGACATTTGTCACCCCACTGCCCTGTGGGAAAGGATGTAGTTCCTCTTCCTGGTCTTTGGGAAGAAGGTTCAGATGGCATGCTGACCTGCAGGAGTGGGGCTGGGCACTGCCACCTTCCTGCCTTCTCTTCCCCTCCAGGAAGGTGCACYACGGATAGGGAAAGGGAGCCTCAGGAAGTTTCAGGAACCCATGTGTGGTCCCCTCCTGCTAGTGAATGGACCAGGATCTCAGATCCCTGGGTCTGCAAACCTGTGTGCCTGTCATCCTAAACCCTGCCAATATCATGGGSGTGCTGTGGGCCAGGCTCCTGACTAACCTGTGTCTGCATTCCTATCTCRTCACCAGGTTCATGGCACAGAGCAGGACCTCAGAAATCTTGATGGAACCGAAATAGTGGCCATAAGCACAAGGGACATTGTGAATCTGTAGGGTCCCAAGACATGTGGGAGTTTAAAGGATACCCTGTCCAAAGAGTACAGACTTTCAGAGAGGCAAACGGAGGCCCAAAGAAGAGAAGGGACATTGCCAAGGCCATGTAACCCCACTTGGGGCCTGGAAGGCACCCCAGGTAGATGCTGTGTTCCATGCTCATGCTCCTTGGGATTTGTCATTTGTCTTCCTGGGATGTGTGGGGAAGGGGTGAGGAGTCCCATCCCTGCCTTGCCCTCCACCCTCTCCTAACTTCTGCATGTTCCAGAACTGTTAGGGGAAGGGAAGCCTAGTGGAGGGATCCAGGAGGCAGGCCCCCCACAGGCCTGTTGGGGGGAGACCCTGTACTCCCCTTCTCTGGTATTCTCCCTCCTGCCAGGGGCCATTTGTGGTCTCCCTCGCAGCCTCCTCACAGTGGATAATGTCTCAAGCTCTGCCCGCCAATTAGAGCTGGAATTTAAATGAATAACTGTGACCTTGTGGAAGTGCCCTAGTTAGGCAGAGGCCCGACGAGGAAATAGGCCTCTCTTTGGTCCATCAGAACCCTGGCAGGCGCAGGAGGAGGGGCTCCTGTCTGAGGAGCCCCAGAGGAGGCCTCTGTTGCCAGAAGGAACTGACGCCTTTGCCTTCCTCCACCTGCTCTTGATCTCGGCCCTCACTGTCTTTTCCTCTTCAGTGGAAGCCATCCCAGGACTGTCCTAGGGCAGGGGACCTGGTAATCTGCCCTGAACCCTGCACTGTCTCCAGAGAGTTGCTCAGTTCAGCCCCAGAGAGAGAGAGAGAGAGAGAGAGAGAGAGAGAGAGAGAGAGACACTGTTCTGTGCCTGAAGTCAGAAGGCAGCGCCTAAGGAATCCAGCTTGTGTCTGTGGACACAAAGAGAAGGCTGCAGAAGACTGTTGACCAGGGGACCAGCAGCATCAGCATCCCTGGGAGCTTGTTAGAAAAGCAGAAGCTCAGGCCCTACCTAGACCTGCTGAAACAGAAYGGGCATTTGATCAAGAGCCCCGAGTGTCAGCACATTAATGTTGGAGACACACGGGTGTCTCTCTTCCCCTGGGGGGGCCTCCAGGTGTGTCTTCACCTAGGAAGTTGCAGTTCCGCTTGCTAAAGCCCTATCCTCATCTCTTGTGCTGGGTACAGCATGAGACACCTACTTGATCTTGCTGACTGGAGTGGGAGGGAGAATGAGATTAGAGAAGGGGAACAATGAAAGGTTACTGGCCACTCAGTCCTTGCAGGTTGCTGTTGAGACACTTTCTGTATAATAGTTTACATCCTGTGAGGCAAGAGAGCACAGGAGTGAGTAAATTATGACTGAAGGGCCAAACCCAGCCCACTGCCTGCTTTTGCAGGTTTGTGAGCTAAGAATTTTTTTTTAAACATTTTTAAGTGGTTGCAAACAATAGAGCAATGGGTAATACCAAAACTGCATGAAGTTCGGTTTCCACATTTGTAAAGTTTTTGGTGGAACACAACCAGGCTCAGTCCTTTTGTCTATTGTCTGTAGCAGCTTCTGAGCCACAAAGTCTGAGTTGGGCAGTTGCAATAGAGACTTCACAGCCTGAAAAGTCTAGAATCATTACCTGTAAGGGAAAAAAATTGCCACCCCTGGGTTAGAGCACAGACTCTCGAGTGAGGTGCTGGGGTTGACATCTTGTCTCTGCCACAGTGATAGGACCTGCTCAAGTGACTTGGTGGGTCCTACTTTCTGTATCTATAAGATAGGGACAATGAGAGGGTGCCTCTGACTGTCTTGAGGATTAAGTGAACTCTTGCACATAGTCCTGTTAACTGTGCCTGGCATAGAGTAAGCCACGTATATTTAGCTTTTATTATTAGTCATCTCATTGGAATCTTTGAATCTTTCAACGTGTGTTTCTCTTTTATAGATGAAGACATT